GAGGAAGGGCCCGGGGGGGCCCCCCCCCCCCCCCGCCCCTTGCCGGCGAAACCCCGGCCGGGCCCCCGCGGCCCCCAGCCCGGCGGGACCGGCCCGGGCCGGGAGAGCAGCCCCGGCGGGGACCGGGTGCTGCCCCTCGGCTGCTGGTTCGGAAAGCCGCTCCGGGACGTGCCTGTGCCACCGCGGCCCCTGCAGCCCCCAAGGGCCGGGGGCATTCCCAGGGGTCGCTGGGCTCTGCGGCTCTCCCGGAGGTCCTCCGGGGTTTCTGCCGCCGGCAGAACAGCGGTGTCATACAGCGGGAGCCTTACCTATCAGAACTGCTTGCCCTTGGAAGGTACCGGACTTTTAAAGCTGCGTCTTTATTCTCCCCTGATTACGGATACAAAAATCACGAGGGAGAAATGAGAGGTATATACAACCATTTCAGAGGATTCCGAGACTGAGATTGGATTTGCGCTGGGAAAGACACCAAACCTTCACACAAAGCGTCTCTCAACAGTGCAAGAATAAAGTATCTCGAATAAATCCCTGCGTCATAATCAGTCCACATACTTTATTCCCGTAAACTACTATACTGTGTTTAAAATACTTTTTATTTTACAGATACCCTTAGAGACTGTACCTGAGACACCACCAAACAATTCCACACAAAACGTTGGCACCAGTTGGAATTGACTGTTCTCTGGTGGAGATGCGTAAAACGTATTCTGTATATTTCCATAAAGATCAAGTATAGCTTCATCCTTACTGTTCTTTTTGCTCAGCTAATCTCATTTAAAAGCTACGTAAGAAAAACTCTAGTCAGTCTGATCATAATGGTCCTACTGCCAAACTCAGAAAAATCAGTCTCTTTCAAAAACAGAACTGCTCAGGCCACTGTAAACAGTGTAGTTCTTTGGGGTTTTTGCAGCTCTCTCATGAACCAATTCCACGTTGTATGAATGATGTTAAGTGTTTTCTGAATACATGGGACCATGCTTCATCTATGCAGAGGACATCTCTGTGTTTTAGACACCCCAAGGTTTGCTGTCTTTTCATCTGGAGTGTGCAGATGGTCTCTGATTCACATGATGGTGGGTCAGTTGCCTGATTGGATCCCCAAATCTTTGAATTAGGAAAGTATCAAGCAAGAGAAGATCAGTGAATACCTCTGTTTGCACAGAAATTGGTAGATTTTTCTTCTCTCCCAATCAACTGTCTGTGAAGAAGCATTCAATAATCTGGATTGTTTCCTTCCCACACTGTTGGGAATTACTGGGAAGACTGAATAATCACAGGTTTTCCTTAAAATCTGACCGCATTCTTCTTGAAAGCTGTTTCTCACAATTCCTACCTTTTTTTTTTTTTCCATATAGTTTGTAAAACCTGCTGCTGCAGCAACACCACAACTAGAAAGAGGCAGTTTCTTTTAAGAGGACTCTAGTATCTATCCAACTACCCTGACAACTGAGCGTCTCCTACGGACCCCAAAGTATCTGTTTGGAGATGGATCTGAAAATGAACGAAATCAAAGCAGTAAAGGAAGCAGTAACACATGTGTAGAAGGAGAGAGGGCAGGGAATATGCTAAGAAGCTAATGATGATAATCCTATTTAGCAAACCAAATAGAGAGGGAAAGCCCGTGATTGAAATTACTGAAGAGAGGAGAGGAGGGTTTGGTTCATAGACAAATGTAACAATTTCTACGAAGGAAAGCTGGGATAGGAAACCCACTTACCTGAGTTTTTAGGACCATTAAATAAAAAGGAATTAAATTCTGCTCATCTCAAACACTGGCCTATTAATGAACAGTTAGCCAGTGTTTGCTCTGTGTGATGAGTTCTACTTACTGCTGACAGCCCAGCTCTGGAAACATGGAGGGGAAATATCATAAATGAATGCTACAAACATGTAAGCAGTTGCTTTTGATTTGAATATGGTTTAAAGTTAAATAATTTCAGGCCTGCCCTTACAGGAGTTGCATCTCATTCCAAAATAGCTGACCTCTCCTTCTTTAACGGTAACCTCATACCCCCCCCCTCCCCCCCCCGCAACTGTATTTACATGCAGGATACTTGGCCTTAGACTTGAGAAAGTTTACTGAGTTTCAGACCTTAGTGAGTTTGGGAAAAAAAATAATTTCAGTGTGAGAGTCTCTTTCATGATGGTAACATACATTTTAAGTGACTGGAAAACTCAAAGGTGTTTGATATATCTCAAACTTACAGGTACAATTTCTGGAACCACGAATTGCTGTCCTTCATCTGACCCTGGACTTATTGTCAAAATAGAAGTAGTAAGAAACCATGTGATGTTGTCCGAGTGTTTAGCACAACAGTGAAAGGTGTATGAAGAATGTAATTATTCACATTTCCATTATCCATTACATGTATAACAGCAACTTGTGGACTTACCTGACAAATTGTCTAAATCACAAAGTGCTCAGACTATGTATAGTCATGATTGTAAGAAAGAGTTGTAGACGTAAGAATATTTTCAGTTTCTAAAGGTTCATCCTAGGTTTTATACCATCCCCCTGAATGCTTCAGCCTATGGTAAAGCCAGGATTTGCAGAGCAGCATGCTGCCAAGAATGCTGTGGATGTATATTGTACAGTGTATGGTATTCACATCAGAAAACCATGCCTACATTTCATTCACAAGCATTCAGGATTATCAAAGCTTTGTGTCTCCCGGCTCACAAAGAACCATTTCCTAATGAAGCAGCAATACCAGTTTGCAGCAGGGCCAAGCCTGTCTTGTTCAATGTTTTTATCAGTTGCATACAAAGGAAACAAAATCAGCTTCCCACTCCACACATAGGCTTTTGGGTGGGAGGGTGTATTTTTGTTTGTTTTGCTTTGCACTCAAAGAGAATGAGTATTCCTCTACAGACAAAATTCAGTATAAACTCTATTGTTCCTAACAGGAGCTCAAGCAAGCCTTTCAAAAAGAAAACTTCAGAGTCTGCGTGTGTTCAAAGATGCCACTGCTGCAATATTAATTCGTGATAAAATAATACAGACTAAGTTGCTCTTGGATTAGGTCTGAAGAATGAGACTGTATGTGTCCTCAGTTTGATGGCAAACCGAGGTTAATCTGTCTCTAAGAAGCTGTAGGCCAGATTCTCTCTAAGAAATCCAGCCCTTTTGCCCTGATCTGGTTTTGTAAAAGGTCCAGGGAGCAGTCAAATCTCGCAGGCTGCACATTCCTCAAATATGGAGAGGATCAGACTGGGAGCAGAGCTGTCACACTTGGCTCACCTGTCAGACCCCCTGCAGCCTGGACGTGGATGACATGGCTGGGGTGGGATGAAGAAGCCACGTGGCTAGTGCCATACCTGCTGTCAGACAGCGTGCTAAACAACAGTATTCCCCTGCTTCGCTATTTTCTATGCTGAGGTTTACTAATGTAATAACACAATCCAGATCTTACACAAGCCTTCTCCACGTGCTACCTCCTTTTAAAATTATACATGCATCCTAAATTTATTCCAAAGATTTTATCTTAAAATAAAGCTACATATTTTTAGTACTATCCTGACGACCTTCCTTGACGATCTTTCTTTGCAGTTGTTCGCAGTGGATCTGTAATTGCAGCAAATAAATAAATGTCATATTTAGATTCCAAAACTGCGTGACAAATGACTGTATTTCATTATTATATTGCAAACCACTGTTTCCACCAATTGTGGCAAACTGGGAGGAAAGAAAGAGCTTTTAATTAAAAATTGTAAGCTATTACTAAAGAAAAGAATGGCATTTTCTTTTAGAAGTTTTTGTGAAATGTGTTGCCCCATATCTGCTTTGTGACTGCATTTTCTAGCTAGTGTCACAAAAGACATTTTTCAGTGTTACTTTCATAAAGCAGCAGAACTTTCTTTGGAAGACTGATTTAAGTGCTTCCTTTCTGATGGTGTTTGGTGTAGTCCATGAAATCTAAGTCATTAGCTACTAAACTGAAAATGCCTTTTTAAGACCTCTTATAGCCATCTGCTATGCTCTGTTTTCATTTGGTGCCATGTGTGTATTAATGAAATGATTGCATCAGATTATATCTTTTATTCATAAAATCATCTAGGTCATCTGCTTCCACCTACACTTTCTGTCTCATTAAAATGAGCATTTGTGCATACATTCTCCCCCCACTGTATGAGTAAAATCATAGCTGCAGTCAGCTGCTATGTGCATCTTAAATAAGAAATTCCTCTCTGTGCTTTTTCTCAAATGAAATTCCTTCAAAAGACAAGCCTAGTGTTTCACACCACAGAAAGTGTATTTTTCCTACAGTTTGAAAAGTTAAGACTTCCTAAAAGGTATGAGAACTGGACGTACTAATTACCTCAGTCCTTCAGGAGAGTAAGCAACATTTCAAGAACATGGCCATTTTGCTGCCAAGAAATAGCACACTCTTCACATCTGGTCAACAGTGTTTGCGTCAAAGCTCTCAATAGCAGGGCAAGTACTTGGGTTCCTTGTTGTGAGGACGGAATACAGCCTGCAGTTGTACGCTTCTTGCTTGAGAATAGGAAGGTGTCGAGTGCACAGAATTCAGTGCTTTCTGTAATGCACGAAGAGCCAAAATACTCAGTTATCCTAATAATCATA